TATATTTTATTTTTTGTGTGTTTAAGAATGTCGAATACTTTCACTTATTTCTCTAAAATCATTCACAACTTTTCGGGTGTTTTGATAAAACTATTGGGAGAAATATTGAATAAGTTGCTTTGGAGGGGGGGATTGTTTAGTTCTCATAGTTTAGGTAGCCTAACATGATGGCAGTGCATAGATTTAAGATAGTGAAAAGAATGTTTTGATGGGAGCACTATTGACATTAGGATACATTAAAAGTGATGATAGGATAACCAATTAACCATCAATGTTATCTATCAAAAAAATGTTGCTAATGTTGATTGGGAGAGGAAGTAAATAGTGGTTACTAAAAAACCACAAAGGGATTGGAGGAGAACTGCAGATGGTGTGATAAAAGGCTTAAGGTTGAAATCCACCATGATATTAGCCCTTTTTGAGAAGTGGCTAATATTAATCCTTTTGGGTTTGGTAACTTTCGTTCCATTGCTTTCTATATGCAAGGCTTAATTGGTGGTTTCTTTATAAAAGTCTTGTACAAACTAACGAGGAGAGAGATTTGGGTACTTGCAAGGCTTAATTGGATGGTTTCTTCATGAAAGTCTTGCACTCACTAACAAGGAGAGAGATTTGGCTACTWGCAAGGCTTRATTGGATGGTYTCTTCGTGAAAGTCTTGCACTCACTAACAAGGAGAGAGATTTGGCTACCGCTTGTGATCGTATTCTTAAGAAAAACTAGGTCAATGCCTTAGGTTTGTTTTCATAGTTTTTCATTAATGATATAGAGAGGAATTGGGCATTAGTTGCAAAAAGCTCTATTTGGAGGGATAAGCATGCAGTATATTGGAGGTCCCATGAAGAAGGTTTTACCAAGTTAAACCTTAATAGATGCAACTTAGTCAATCTGGAGCCATTTGATATTGGCTTGTGTTTATAAATGCAGGTTTGATTCTTGCTTTACCCTTGGCCCCCCTTGGAGTGGGGGAAGTTGTTAATATTGAAGTTCATACATTCTAAATAGGGATAGAACTTTCAATAGAGATAAGTTTTAATGTAATACTAATTGTTGCAAACAAAACCAATAGGAGTGGGGAGAAATGTAAAGTCTTCATAAGCTTTTCATACGAAGGAGGTCATAGGTGCATAATCTCTATAAACAAGCTTTGCATAAAAGACCAATTTCTGGTAGGGATGTTGCTACACAAGTTGTTGCTTAGATTTAGATTTCGGAACCTTGGTTTTTGAAAACCAAAAAAAGTTAACGAACCCGGATTAGTAACAAAAGCATAAATAAAGAAACTCTCACTTGGCCCCTACATCTTTGGATTTAGGGTTCAGAACATTTCTTGGTTTTTGAGAACCTAGAAAAGTTACTAAACCCAAATCTGTCCATATTAGAAAAAAAATTGTCTCCTTGGCCATTAGTGTCAAGGTATGCATTATATGTATTATTAACCCAAATGAGTAGAGAGAAATTGTCATTTGTCCCATATATCTTGGGTTTAGGGTTGAGAACCTTTCTTTGTTTCTGAAAATCAAGAAAATTTACAGAACCTATATGAGGGCAAGTTAGACTAATTTTTCATTAACCTGGCCACCGGTGTCAAAGTTTACATGACTCAGATTAGTAACCAAAGCACAACGAAAGAAACTTTCACTTGGCCCCTACATCTTTGGATTTACGATTCAAAACCGTTCTTGGTTTATGAAAAACCTAGAAAAGTTACTGGACCCAAATGTGGCCATATCAGAAAAAAAATTGTCACATTGGCCATTAGTGTCAAGGTATGCATTATATAGATTACTAACCCAAATGAGTAGAGAGTAATTGCCACTTGTCTTCTAGATCTTTGGTTTAGGGTTGAGAACTTTTATTGGTTTCTTAAAACCAATAAAATTTACCGAACCCATATGAGGCCAAGTTAGACTAATTTTTCATCAATCTGGCCACCGTTGTCGAAGTTTAAATGACCCGGATTAGTAACCAAAGCACAAACAAAGAAACTCTCACTTGGCCCCTATATCTTAGGATTTAAGGCTCAAAACCTTTATTGGTTTTTGAAAACCAATAAAAGTTACTGAACCCAAATGTGACTAAATCAGAAAAAAAAATTATCACCTTGGCCATTAGTGTCAAGGTATGCATTATACGGATCAATAACCCAAATGAGTAGAGAGAAATTGTTACCTGTCATCTAGATCTCTGGTTTAGGGTTGAGAACTTTTCTTGGTTTCTGAAAACCAAGAAAATTTATCGAACCCATATGAGGCCAAATTATACAAACTTTTCATCAATATGACAACCGGTGTCGAAGTTTACATGACTTGAAATGGTAATCAAAGCACAAAGAAAGAAACTCTCACTTGGCCCCTACATCTTTGGATTTAGGGTTCAAAACCTTTATGGTTTTTGAAAACCAAGAAAAACTATTGAACCCAAATGTGACTACATCAGAAAAAAGAATTATCACCTTGGTCATTAGTGTCAAGGTATGCATTATATGGATTGTTAAGCCAAATGGGTACAGAGTAAGTGTCACTTTTCCCCTAGAACTTGGGTTTATGGTTGAGAACTTTTCTCGGTTTCTAAAAATGAAGAAAATTTACGGAACCCATCTAAGGCCAAGTTAGACAAATTTTTCATCAATTTGGCCACTAGCGTTGAAGTTTAAATGACCCGGATTACTAACCAAAGCATAAACAAAGAAACTCTCATTTGGCCCCTACGTCTTAAGATTGAGGGCTCAGAACATTTCTTGGTTTTTGAAAATGAAGAAAAGTTACTGAACCCAAATGTGACTAAATCAGAAAAAAGAATTACCACATTGGCCATTAGTGTCAAGGTATGCATTATATGGATTAATAACCCAAATGAGTAGAGAGAAATTATCACTTGTCGTCTAGATCTTTGGTTTAGGGTTGAGAACTTTTCTTGGTTTTTGAAAACCAAGAAAATTTACCGAACCCATATGAGGCCAAGTTAGACCAACATTTCATCAATCTGGCAACCGGTGTCGAAGTTTACATGACTTAGAATGGTAACCAAAGCACAAAGAAAGACACTCACATGGCCCCTACATCTTTGTATTTAGGGTTCAGAATCTTTCTTGGTTTTTGAAAACCAAGAAAAGTTACTAAACCCCAAAGTGGCTATATTAGAAAAAAAAATTGTCTCCTTGGCCATTAGTATCAAGGTATGCATTATATGTATTATTAACCCGAATGAGTAGAGAGTAAGTGTCACTTGTCCCCTAGATCTTTGGTTTAGGGCTGAGAACTTTTCTCGGTTTCTAAAAACCAAGAAAACTTATGGAACCCATCTCAAGCCAAGTTAGACTAATTTTTCACCAATCTAGCTACTGGTGATTATTAACCAAAGCACAAACCAAGAAACTCTCACTTGGCCCCTACATCTTAGGATTGAGGGCTCAGAACCTTTCTTGGTTTTTGAAAACCAAGAAAAGTTACTAAATCCAAATGTGACTACATCAGAAAAAAGAATTACCACCTTGACCATTAGTGTCAATGTATGCATTATATGGATTAGTAACCCAAATGAGTAGAGAGAAATTGTCACTTATCACCTAAATCTTTGGTTTAGGGCTGAGAACTTTTATTGGTTGTTGAAAATCAAGAAAATTTACTGAACCCATATGAGGCTAAGTTAGACCAACTTTTCATCAATCAGGTTGCCCGTGTCGAAATTTACATGACTCAAAGTGGTAATCAATGCACAAAGAAAGAAACCCTCACTTGGCCCCTACATCTTCTATTACCAAATGGAGAAAGCTAAAAATTGGGTTGAAGACCCCATTGAAAGATTTGCCAAATGCGACCAACTTAAAATTCTTCACAACCCTCTTAAACGGTATGGATGCAAATGATCATATCAAATTCAAATTAGGGTATATTCGAATACGATTCGATACTATAAATTGTAGATATGATCCAATCATCTCATAAACATTGATTTGAACTTGAATTCAATAAGGATGCCAAATATCCGAATCTAATCCAATCCGATTTAATTATTAAAAAAATTAATAAATTATTAAAAGGAAAAGGAAATATAACAAATTAAATAAAGAATAACAAAAAATAAAGATTTATCAAAAATAGAGAAAAGAAGAACACAAGTATTTTTTAACTATTTTTATCATATATATATATACTTGTTTTTTTTTTATAAAAAAGTAAATATAAAATTTCACAAAAAAGTAATATAAATAACACATCCATATATATATAGATCCTTTTCGACCGAATGGGATGATTTGAATCCGATTTTAATTGGATCACATTATTCGATCCAAAAACCCAAAATGGATATATCCGAATCCATTAGACATCGGATGGGATATCTGGATCATGGTCCAATCCATTTACATCCCTACTAAACAGTCACCATTTTTTTTCCTAAGGCTAGAAGTAGGGTTGTTCGCAAATAAATCCAAACCGACCAAATCGACCAATCCGGTTTGACCCAACTTGAGTCGGTTGGTTTTTCTTCACTACCAGTTGGTTTTGGGTTGCAAAGATGAGTAAACCGATAATTCGATTTGGTTTCAGTTTTCATGTGTGAAAATCGAAACTAAACCAAATCAAGTTATCTGAAAAAATATATATTTTGAAAACATATTTGTTAAATATAGATATTTTAATTTTAAATAATAAATATATATCTGAAAAAATATATATTCTGAAATATATCAGATATATATTTCCATAAATTAGAAAATATATATTCTGATATATGTTTTGGTTTTAAATATATTTCTAAAAAATATATTCTAAAATATTATATATAATATTAGCACTTTGAGTTCATGTGCATTGTACAAGCATGAAATTGATTGAAATCTAAATCGGCTCAAATCGATCAAATCGATTTTACTTAATAGAGGATCGATTTCAATTTAATCTATAGGTGATCCGACCAAGTCGGATCGATTGAAAAAACACTAGTAAACCGACCCAACTCGAACCGTGAACAGGCATAGCTGGAAGTTGCGTTGGATGTTACCAAAGGCCCCCAATCGAGGGTAAAAACGAAACTTCGGGTTTACAAAAGGAACAATTTTAGGGCTCCATTGATTCAATTTGTTCCGCTACTGAGAAGTGAGAAGCAGAAGTGCAAACTGCGAATCTTCCTCGAGCTTGATTGAGAACGAGAAGTGCAAACCACCGCCGTCGTTGTAGTTTTTGTGAATAGCCAAGACCAGCGGATAGGTATGCTTCTTTTTCTTCTTCTTCTTCTTGGATACAGGCAGCCGGCGAAGCAAACAGGTCACTTCTTGCAGGCCATAGGCAAATTCTTCTCTTATTGAGAACGATTAGGTACAGGTTGATGACACATTAACAAGAGTAACAAAACTGTGTTTTTGGGGTTAATGATTGGAAGGAATTTTAGAATATGACTCACCACAACTGTTTGTGATTGCATTTTCAGTTTCTCAACTTATAATAGATAGTGTCTCCTGTTTTATGGCTCCCATCTCAATTTATAAGATATAAATACAAAACGTTTATTTATTTTTCAAAAATAATAAAAAGAAGAAAGCTATTGGTGCTCAATTTCTGTTTATATAATTTAGCCATTGTCCAAACTACTAGAGATAGCTTTCCATGGAGATGTCAAATGATGATGATGACATCTCACTATAGGGTCAACGGCTTTTCTTCTTCCTTTAGCCTTTAAGTAATACATATTTAAATAATGGTAAAAAAGAATTGACATCTCACTACCAGAATCTCATGCCAGGATCTTTGCTTGTCGAGCTTCAGAACGGGTCGAAGAAATTCAGTATTTTGATGAGATGCTGATTTTATCAATCTTCAATTTGTGAGTTTTTACTTTGTTTAGTTCAATTTAATTCACGAACCCTTGTAGTTTTTCTTTATTCTCATTGATTAATTGTGAATTTATGGTTTTTCTTGTGAGAGAGCTTGATTTTCAGTTGCTTTTTTATTTTTCTTGAAATCTAGGGCTTATGCATGTAAGGTCTATTTTTGAGAATATATTGTAATTTTTTCTAATAGAGAAGAAATTGTAAATGATGTTTTCTGCAACAACAGTATGGATGGATTAGTAAATCTGTAACTATGATACACTGTTGTCTCTTGAAAAATACTGATAATATGAAAAGGTGCCATTTCATTTCCTGTAATGTTTTGATATTGGGAGACTGATCAAAAAAATGTTCTGATATTGGGAGCTTTATGATCATCAATTTCTTTTCCTTTTTGATGCTTATTGTGCTTATGATGTAATTGTTTAACAGGTTTTATTAGAGGTGCTTGTAACAATGTCGAGGCCCATGGTACTTGTTTTTCTGCTGCTGGTACTCATTATTACATCTCAGTTTGAATGGAAGCAACAACTTGTGAATGATTTTGAAACAGCCCCAAGTATTTCTCAGAAGCAGCAACAAATATCAAAGAGGGAAGAAGCTGTAAAAGAAAAGGCAGGTCATTTATGTGCTAGTTCATTTTATTACCGTAAACTACCTCTCCTTCTTAGTTTCTTGGTTTAATTTGGATTTTTAGACTTTGTTAATTTTGGGTGGTTGTAAAATGAGTAGAGTAACATTAGTGCTGGTACTTTTAACAGTTTAACTCATAAAGGAGCACATTTATTATGAATATTAATTGTGAAACTTTGAAGTGCATCATAATTAATCATTTCATTGACGACTGCTTGAGTCTTCAACTTCTGTATGTAAAGCCATTCCATTTCTCTTTACTGGCAGATGGACAAAAATGAGTAGAGTAACATTAGTGCTGGTACTTTTAACAGTTTAACTCATAAAGGAGCACATTTATTATGAATATTAATTGTGAAACTTTGAAGTGCATCATAATTAATCATTTCATTGACGACTGCTTGAGTCTTCAACTTCTGTATGTAAAGCCATTCCATTTCTCTTTACTGGCAGATGGACAAATTCAAAATACACATGCAGTTATACATGAATGTACACCAGAATCAGTTGAATATGCTTCGTAAACCCATCAAAATACCATTCATGTAGTTTTGTTTATAATGTGCTTCTTCCACCATCTCTAGTAAAATAAATTTGTTAAAAAATATAAAGAGAAAGTACAAGAAAGGTGACCAAATGTCACCCGAGAGAAGAAATGAAAGATCTAAACCACCCACAACCTGACACTCCAGAATCTGAAAAACTACCCTAACTGAGAAAAACCCCGACAACAACTAACTCAAACAAAAACACAAAATATAAATTCTGCTCTCCCAAACCATCCTCACCATACAGGATTTTACAGGTTTCACCTCTTTCCACCAAATAATCCTCCTTTCAACCGGTACACACTTTTGAAACAGGAATAGTGAGATGATTTTTTCTATTTCTGAAACATCTCACTGTATTAGGAGTTAGGACTCTTTGAAAGGACTTTTGAGTCAAGGGGATTTGCATTGGTTCTTTCTTACTCTAAAACTGCATTTTTTTTTTCTAAATTCTGTTATGCAATCTCATTGCCCTCTTTATCATCTTCCTCTACTAAGTTGAGATCTTTCCAATTGCCTTGAGGCTCCTTCACCCTGAGAGCGGTGAGTCTTCCACTTCAAAATCCACCGTATCTTTCTTAATGGGAAACCTTTCTTCCAACTTCATGAATGTTTTCTTGATGGGAAACTTTTCTACTATGTTTAGTTTAGGTTGTGAATTACTTGATTTATGGCTTTCTGCTTAGATTTGGATGGGGTCTGCTTTTATTCTCATTGACCTTGGATACAAGGACATATCCATGGCTTTTATTTACCATTTTGACCATGATTTTTCATTTGTTATTAATTATCATTTTTTTTAATAAAAGAAAAAAAAAAAGTCTTGGGATGGTTTACCAGACAAATTGGGTAGAATGGGATCTTATTGAATTCTTTTTTTATTGGTATAGATTACTAATAAAGTTGCGGAAATGGTTGCTAGAGTTATCGGGAAAAGGAAGCAAATTGCAAAAAGGAAAATAAAACAAGTTAAGAATTGGAAAATTAAAGATGGACTAACATTTATTGTAAAAAAGGAATAATGGTGATAAAGTAGGATTTAGCAACCAAAATCATGATATTGAACAAAAAAGCAGGATGCAAATTCTAGAGGTTATGGATAGAAAATCTATAAGGTAAGAACAAGAACAGAAACACAGGGACAAATAGGACTTCGGAGGAATTGCAATTCCACACTTCCACTAGTTGAATCATGAGTGTCATCTATCATGTTGCTTATGCTGGTGTTTTGATGGATCTATGCACCACCAAATAGAGCTAGAAGAGTTGCTCTTCTACTTTCAGTGGATTTAAACTGCATAAAATGGCAATGTCAAAGGCCAGAAATTTATTTGAATTTCTTATTTTGTCTTTTTCAATAAATTCCTGGATTTTCATGTAGGCTTCTTTTCCTTGTTCAAGAACTTCAAAAGACCTTAACATATGGAAAGAAAAAGTAAAATCAATAGAATCTAATAAATTTCTTCTTCAACTGATTTTCTATGATTTAGTTTCTCATCTCATGCTGGTCATCTTTCCTTATTCTTCTCGATGGAATGAGAGTTTGTACTCTTTTATCTATGCTCAGCATTAATACATTGCATCACTGCCCAGCAGACCAAAAAAAAAGGAAAATGGGGTTTTCTTGCCTGCTTATCACATTATCCTGGGGTGGTTGATTGAATCAATTAAAAATTCTTTTAATCTTGTCAAAAGATTGGAGTTCAGGCATATTTTTGACATGGAAAACTGAAAACTGAGGATTCAATTAGAATAACAGACTTGTAGCTTAAGTTTAGCATCTTTGATTTTTATCCTCTTCTTCATGCATCTGGAATGAAATTTCTTTTTTTTTTTAATTTCATCTTGTGAAAAATGTTCTCGAACAATTCTCATGCAATTTTTTGTAACATACATGATGCTTAACCTTCAAACATTATGGTTTTGAAATGGCTAAACATCAGAGATGTTGGTCCCACCCAATGGTATGTAAAGGCCAAAATACATCACAATTAGTGGTGCCTAACTTGCCACTACATTTATATTTGGTTCTCATTTTCCAATGATATTCTGCACTGGTTGTTACAGCACCATCTTAAAATACATCTCATTTTCCAATGATATAGAGAGAATTTGGTTTCCACACTGAGTTGTAATATCACCAATCAGGAAGGAAGCACCCATAGTGCCTATTTTACCAGATAGGTGATCTCTGACAATTAGGTTGGAGATAACTTCCACTTGTTTGTGTCCCATTTTGCTAAGAAGTTTACAAGGTTGCAGAGAGATTCATTAAATCTCATTGACCATTAAAGCACAACACCTCTAAGACAACATGCTTCTGAAGCGCCTAGCTTGCTTGAGCTTCTCATCATCTGCTGCATCTCGTATCTTGAAAATTGGAGATGTTCTAAAGCATTCAAGAAAGTTCTCTGATCTAGATGTTCTTGAGTACTCGAAGCTAAGCCATGATTCAAATCCTTTGCATTTTGATTCCAAATGTGCTAAAACTGCTGGATTTGAAGATCGACTTGTTCATGGGATGCTTGTTGCTGGTCTCTTTCCTCAGATCATTGCTTCTCATTTTGTAAGTTTATTTATGTCCACCTTTTTTTTGTTTATATAGCTTTCCTTAGGACAGTTTTTTTGGCATTAGTGTTTGGTAGACAAATGTTTTTTTTTTTTTTTTTATTTAGAGTTTTTTAATGATTGAATGAAATTTGTTGAAAGGGTTTAGTTTTTGTTAAAAGGGTTGGATTTTCCCCCCTTTTGCACTAGAGCTGTTCAGAGTTTAATGGTCTGAAATGATTCAATGAACGTGTAGCCTGGAGCTGTGTATGTCTCACAAAGCTTACATTTTAAGTCACCAGTCTACATTGGAGAGGAGGTCATTGCAGAGGTTCAAGCAGTTAGTTTACGAGAGAACCGGAAGAGATACATGTTTGTGCCTTATCCTATTACAAAATCGTAGCTCCTTCTCTTCCTTCAGTTTATGGTCAGTGTTATTGAGCAACCGTTGATGAACTTATATATATTATAACCTTCTGAATGTGCAGAGCAAAATTCTCAACAAAATGCTTTAAAGATGGGAGGCTTCTTGTGCTTGATGGAGAGGCTATGGCCATATTGCCAACTCTGTCCATGGGTGAACAACAGTGACCAAACTGATGGAAGTCAGATTCAGCCCATAAATAGAGTCCCTTCTTAACACTGTTGTGTTCTTCATAAATTTTTTTCATGAATATAGGAATTTGCATTTCTTAACTTATGTGAATGTGAAACAGATATCACTTCTGTTACACTAGAGAAGGGCTTTTAGGAAGTCAATGTACTGTAGTACTACTAGTGTGAGTGCCATCTACTAACGTGCCTAGCAAATTAAGTGATAATTTGTTGCCATTTCTAGGAAATATGTGCATTCAGGTTACAACCCAAAGTTGCAATTACATTCTTGATCAGTTATTGCAATCTCTAAACCATAAGCTTTGTGAGACATACAAAACTAGATTCATACTGGATGAATCATTTCGGACCATTAAAATCTAAATCACTATCAGGCTATGGAGTTAATTTTTTTACTCAACTTTTCTTTGACACATTTATCTAAAAATTGCCATCTAACATGTTGGGCAAATCTGGTTGTGTCACTTTGTCTTATAAAAAGCCAAAATTTACATTTTTTTTTCACAGGAGAGGAAGCATTTTTTTTTATCAGTAATTGTTAGTGACTTTATTGATATTTTAAAAAGGGCGGTATATACACAGTGATATGCCAGGCACCCTTTCATTTGGCCAAGTCCCAGTAGCCAACCATCTGTTCCTCCTCACAATTTCCTAAGTTCTGTTTGTTTGCAGTGCAAGTCTGAACCTGTAAAACGTCTTTACCTGGTTCAGTTTTACATCCATTTTTGTAACTATGATTTGCACTCCTACCTGATTCAAAATTTGCATTATATCATTTGCACTTGTTGGCAGTGCAAATTTTGCATCTCCTATAAAGTGGGGCTTCATGGGGCTATATAACCGGGGTAGCCTGTCCCCCAAACCCATAAACCTCCCCCCAACTCTGGTGACAGCAGAATTTGATCCCGAGCCTCAGCTATAGCCGGTGAAAGAAGGGAGCTTATCAACTGAGCTACCATCAGGTATCAGTTGGTTCATGTAAAGCGGGGCCACTTCCTATTTTGCTCCTCTCAAACAAGCAACTTTCTTCATGTCTTCATTCTCTACATATGAAGTCAAAATGACATTATTTTACCTCCAAATCCTCTCAAACAAAACAAAGTTAAACATGAAGCAAGATTAAACTAGAATTTACAGTCAGCTATTTACACTTCCATCTGTTCACAGTTCACACTAGTGCGCTGCAAACAAATTGAAAACCTTAGGGAATCAAACCCCTGTGCAATTTTGTATCACAGAAGAGGACACATTGATATTTTTTCCATTCTTCATTCAATTGCTTGCTTTATTTAAAAAAAAAAACATGGTAAGAGAGATCTGTGATATGATTTGTGAGAAGCAATGATACAAGAAAGAGGGTATCTATTTGGGACTTAACGTGCATTGAAGTTGAAAGGCAAGGATATGAATCATGTGTAGAAGAGCCTCTTATCTCAAGAAAATACTCGATTGTTTATCAAAGAATTCCTCTTTTGCTTGAGAACTCTGTTGATTATTGAGGAATAGAAGTACACGCAGGACACTTGAAAAGTATGGATCATGAATGCCTGATTTTTTAGGCTAAGTTATGCATACACTGAACCGGTGGAAATATGCACTCCAGTTTCTGTGCATTTGTTTTGACATACAAATTTCTCTTGAAAAAGGCTGCAATTGTGTATTGAAATTCTTGTTTACTCTCAAGATGGGTGCAAATTTGCTTCTAAAATATGTATACAAATTTGCACTGTCCCATGATTGGTTTAAATAAGCTGACTTCTAGGCATTTTCTATTCTGTCATTTCACTTGTCTAAACAAATAGGTGGAAAAGGTAACCACATTAGGTCTTGGGGAACAAGTGCCAATACAGCAGTTAGGAAATCTACAGTGATTGCATTGTGGTCCCCCCCGGAGGCTGGGTGGAAGAAACTAAATTTTGATGGCAGCTGTCTTGGAAATCCGGGCCTTTGGGCATAGGTGGGGTAATAAAGGGAGAGGATGGAAATATGCTTGCCTTGTTCTCAGGTCCTATTCAGCAAGGTGTTGTAGTGAGCTCAGAAATGAAGGCAGCAGTGTTTGGTGTTGAAAAAGCCAAAGAAATGGGGGTCAACAGGCTGATTGTTGAAGGGGACTCAAAAAATTGTTGTAAACTGGCTGAGGAAAGGGAAGGGAATAAGTTGGTAGTTAAGGAATGAGTTCAGGCACTTCAAACAGGCTTGTAAAGACATGGTGATTCAGATAAGATGGGCTAGAAGATCAGCTAACAATATGGCTGATGGTCTAGCTAAGCAAGGAGTTCTAAGACAATCTATGTTCTGGGCTTAATCTAGCTAGTAGAATGTTTCTGTTGGCTTACCTTTTGGCTGTCATGTAACTTAAAGGGATTGTTTTTGGGTTTGTTTGGGGATGTGAACTAAGTGGAATGCTTGTCCACCACAACTTCTTGTTGCACTTAATCTTCTAATTAATTAATGAATTTCTGTGTTGCTGATAAAAAAAAGGTAACCACATTTACTCCCTATAACAAACCTACAAGATGAGTACAGTCACTAGTGCATGGATGAACTGGGTTTATGCTCATGGTTTTCACACCCATTTGCATTTAGTATGATGCATGTTTTGCATCACAAACAAAGACATCCTTAATGGCATTCCTCTGTGCAACTTTGTATCTTATTAAGGACAACAGGGGATTCACCAATAGTTGTGAGCCTTGGGCCTCAATGGTACTTTACTTGGTAAAAAAGTTCTTTTTCCAAATACTGATAATGCTTGGCTCGGAGAATGGTCTCTGGACCTCTTTGCAAACAATAATCAAAGTATAAAAATGAAAGCGCACACATTGTTTGATGAACAATAGCTGGAAGTTTTCTTGTATGCATTAATTAAAAGTTCCTTGATATGCAGAATTTTTGCCTGCATATTCTATTAGGTGAAACTTTATGAATTGGTAGTTTTTCGACCTCTACGTTTTTGCTGGTTAGTTCTTCAACCATTACATATGATATACTTGTCAACATATCATTGTCGATCCATGCTTAAGTAGAGGTGTAAATCGGGCCAGGCCAGGCCCGACACGATGGTCCTTGTTGTGCTAGGCCTGGGGTTTGAAGTCTAGGGGCCAACACGGCACGACACGATCAAGCGGGCCGTGCTACCCACGACACAACCCATATATACTATTTATATATATTTATTTATATTTATATATATATACATAATATTTATATGTTTTATATATTTATATATATAATATATTAATAAAATAAACAACTTTTTTCAATTTTATTATACTAATTTATTTAATTATTGTATATATAAGCAATTGTATACATCAAAATTCATATAAAATTAAAATTTTAAGTTTTTTTTTCAATTTTTTAAATAAATAAGCAAAAATAGCTTTGGCCCGACTTGGGCCAAGGCTTGGCCTATGGGCCAGCTCGGCTCGCGGCACGACACGGACCCACACGTGCTTGGGCCGTGGGCCGTGGGCCGTGCTGGGCCGACCCCTAAAATTTTCACCGGGGAGGACGGCACGGCCCGTGGGCCAGCACGGCATGGTCCACACTTTGCGTGGGCCGCTTGTGGGCCATGCCGTGCTGGCCCGGCACGACCCACTTTACACCTCTATGCTTAAGGATCACTATAGGGCCTTGTCCATGATTCAAGCTACAAATGCTGGGTAGAGTTTAAATTTTCTTGTATGATCCAAGGGTTCATCCACCATTGGGTGGTATGTAGTTTGTTGACATTTAGATGATTCAGCTTGTTGATCATATTTTCTATTTGATAGGAAAGAAATCTCTATGCAGGTGGAAAATGGCCTTTGATAATGTGCAAATAAGGAACTAAAGAATCTTTGCAGAGAGAGAGAGAGGAATAAGGAAACCATTAAGGAGGTGATTTGTTTCAGGGTATTCCATTGGCTTAAATCAATTGATCTGTTCAACAATGTCTCAATAGATGATTTGTCAAGAAAATGGAAAGAAAATGCCTTTTCAGCCCCAGTTCAAGAGGTTGCAGCTCCAATTTGGTCCCCCTTCCAAACGGATTCTATAAATTGAACTTTGATGGAAGCAGTATTGGAAACCCAGGGCCTTTCGGTATTGGGGGTGTTATAATACGAGGGACGAGAAAGGGAACATCACTGCTTTGTTTTCAGGTCCAATTGAAGCGGGTGATTCTCTTAGAGCTGAGATTTTGGTGGCGTTAGAAGGTGTTCAGAGAGCTAAGGACATAAATTTGGGGAAGCTAATCATTGAAGGAGATTCAAAGCTGGTGATAGATTGGCTAAAGGGGGATAAGGCTGGTCTGTGGGTGTACAGAAATGAAAAGAAATGTTCAATTGGCTGACAAAAGAAATAGAAATTAAAATAGTTTGGGTCAAGAGATGTGCAAATTCCTTTGCTGATGGGTTAGCAAAACAAAGGGTGAACAGGGAAAATTTGTTTTGGGCTGAACTGTAATGTTTTGTCTTCTCTCTTTGTTGGGGAAATAAGAGAGGTTATCTCTCAGCTCTCCCATGTAATCCTGTTTCTTTAATCAATGAAATCCATTGTTATTGATAAAAAATGCCCTTTGATAATATGCAGTCTTCTTCTGTGTTACTTCTAATGAACCCAAGTAACTTCTTAGTAGAAGCCCTTTACCCTAAACCCAAATTTATTTGTTTTAATTATGGCCAACCCTAAATCCAACTGTCTTTGTTTTAATATAAGATTAGATGCCTAATAACATGACAAAATAAATCAATCAATTAATTTGGCAAGCTCATTCCTAACCAAAATATTCTATATATTTGATTAGAAAATATTAATTTAGTATTAATTCCCCCAAAATTAATTTTATGTTAATCCAATATGCTTTGCATTTGATTAGAAAATTAATTTAATAAATATAATGATCAGAGCTATTTGGGGAATTAGGGGGAGGAGTTGGGCAGCTCTTCTAGTGGTAGGAGCTTTAGGAGGGATCATAATAATGTGGAGAGAAGAGGAAGTTTCAGACCTTGAAGTGGATGGGGGGGGGAGCTCTCTATCACCATCCTTTTCACTAATAACACCGACGGCTTCAATTGGTTGTTGACTGGGGTGTATGGTCCAAATTGTCCATCAGAAAGAGCTGGACTTTGGGAGGAGTTGGACTCCCTGCATGATCATGTGGATATCCCATGGTGTCTTGGAGTATGAGAGACTTCTCTATCTTCATAGCAAAGTTACAACCTCTGTGATCTCCCACTAATTAATGGGAAATTTACCTGGTCTAATTTGCAGGTGAATACAATTCGGTGCA